AACATAAAAAACGTATGTTCCCGCACAAAGTGCGGGTCAAAATCTAGTAATAATAGTATAAATGTAAACAAAATTCCAAATTTGTTTCATCTAAGGGTAGCTTGGGATTTCCTTGCTTTTTCCACTGCTTGGGATTCACTATGAGAGACAAACAATTGCACCATAACAATATTAGTTGTATTTACATCACCCAACACAAACACAACACCAGACCAAATACATATACCCACGCTACTTCCTCTTTCTAGATATCATGTACGTGTAAACTCTTCACTTCACTTCACGCTCCTGGAAACGACAATCTCCTTGGTTTCCCTGCGTTTCTACCTCCAGGGAACGGTGCTTTCGCTGAAACAGCTGATAATGATACCCTCTTCGAGTTAACCTCACTCTTGCAACAACCCGTCGTCTTTGAGCTCTTCTGTTTCTTAGGAGTTAAAGAATGTCTTACTTCCCAAGGCCGAACAGATATCCAACGCTCTTTCCAGCNCCAGCCCCAATTAGTATTCCCCAGCTCGTAACTCCCCAGCCACTGAGTCTTACCATCGGCTTTCCACTGTTCAGGGCCATGGATTAGAACTTATATTTGTTCCTCCTTTATTTTTCACATTGGAAGCAGACAAGAAACAACGGTTTTCAATATACCTGATGAGAGAAAGCATATGCCAAGGCTCTTTCTCGCTTGATCGTTGCTTCTTCTCTATGATGTATCCTCCCCAAGATTTCATCTTTTGTCTCTGAGCCACCATTCCATTCAACCTCAACATCGTGAAGCTTTGCCTCAAGCTTTTGCTGATTCTCTAATCTCTTATGCTTCAGTCGGCCTTCTGTGACCATGCAAACTCGGCGAGCCTTAATCTGCGACTGTATTTTACTCCACGAGTGAAGATACCTCAATGTGACCACCGCTTGCTTCTCCACCGAATGTTTCTCAGTTAACAACTTTGCTCTTGCGGTTCCTTTTAGACGCCTTAAGATTTTTCTAGCCTGCGCAAATCTAAGCCCTCAACACGAGATCTCAAAAATTTCCAATGTAAATGCAAAATCATTCAAATAAGTTTGGAAATAGCAACTCAATTGGACCTTATAGGCTTTAAAAGCAGTCTGAATCCGAGTTGCTGCCCAATCCTCACTATGAACAACTAGAGAATGAGTACCGTTCTTCTTGGAAGCTTTTGATTTTGCAGCATTCTGTCACAAAGAAGGACAAGCAAATGCTATTAAGAACAAAAACAATTTAGCTACATAAATTTGTTTCTGCAGCAGCAATGAATTGATGATCACACCAATGTAAAACACACCTTCTCGCTCTTGACACTCCTTTGTTTCCCTCTCTTCGATCCAATTATCGCTTTAAGAAAATTCCCAGACCCCATCTCAGACTTTGTCAGCTGCCACCAAAACTATGCAAATCTTGCTTAAACCCTGAGATGGAAGCAAAATATTCGAATTAAATAATACAGGTAATGGTGAAGGATCTAATAAAAGAAATTTAGCAGCATTCTTGTACCTAGTAAGCAGCATTAATATAGAATTCAAAGCACATGATATGCATCTGCTTCTCTAAGAATCAAGAATTTGACTAGAAACTATTGGATTTGGATTCTCATAGTCACTACTCATAAACCACCAAAGTCAACTAATCAAAATACCCAATACAATACAAAAGGTAAATGAAGTAACTTGAAAGACCTCAATGCAAATGAAACAGAAAAGGTTCAAATTTTACTAAACCCAACACTAGAAATGAGCAAAAAAGAACATTAAACTGAATAAAATAGTTAACCCACAAATCAATCTGGCAAATGGTCGTATCCCAAACCCACAAAAGTTTCTATTTCTCCAGATCCAATCTTAAACCATTTGAAACCAAACCAGCAAAGGAACTAAAGATAGATACAAAAACCTGAGTTCGGTCCCAAGTTTTCCAGAATGAAGCTCGTGAAGGAACTGAAAACTGGTCTTAAGCCAGAGAGCAAAAAAAAAAAAAAAACAGAACAGAGATTTTGGTGAACAAAATGATTGAAGGGTTTTTTCTCGGTCGGTACCTGTACAAGTAAGGAAGAAGTAAAGAAGACTATTAAAGGCAAATCATTTCAGCGTCGTGACTCGTGGAGAGATAGATATCAGGCTGGAATTCACATTTTTATTCTTTATTTCTCTACCAAAAATTAGTACTGTAATCACTGATTATTAAATCAAAATGTCGCACCAACACTTCAATGTAAATACTTTCAGGAATCGTTATAAAAAAAATTGTCAAAATCGAGACTCTTTTCTTTTATCACGTTGGCAAAAACCATATTGTGAGGAGAGTAGATGTTATAAGCTTTAGCAAGAAAAAAAAAAGTAGATGTTATAAGTTTAATTCGAAATTTTCGTCACTCGTGTATACTCCTCTAAATTTAGAAGTTGAAAATCAGTGAAATAATTACTGGATATCAAACGTAGAGACTTTGCTAATCTACTTTACCACTTCGTTAGTAATATAACTATGACAGCTCAAACGTGTTGAATGTCACGAGTAAGTTATAAAGATTTGATTTGTATGCACCACCAATATCAATTAGGAATTATAATTGTTTTGATGACTGTCAGTGTCACTAATAGAGATTGCATAATATATTAATTCTCAATCTCTTAATCGTCGGTAGCATTTGGAAAAAATGTGTCGAGTTATATCAAGAGCATTATGAAGCAATGTTTTGGATAAATGTAGAGTAATTCTTGGAATTTTTTAAGATTATGGGAAAAGTACGAGACAAAAAAAAATATATCAGTAAAAACATTTTTTACTAAAGCACGTAGTTAAAAGATATTGATTAAGACTGTAGCTAGAACTTTGTCGATTTAAAAACAGATTGTTCGAAACATATCAAGATATCAGTAGAATTCCATGGACTAACATGGTTTCTCCAAAACTTGAACAATTTTATCTCATTTTGGTATATACTTTTTTTGTCATTTTACACTTTTTAATATTATCATCAAACATAACTCGTTTAGCCAGAGTTACGTTGCATCTACATATGTTATTTTCAAAAACAATTATCTTCCAAACTGAATTACAAATCATTGAGATTTTACTTTATTATAAATATGTAACTTATAAAAAAATCACTTAAAAACGTAAACTATTATTAAACTACTTCTCTACCGGTTAATTTACTCAATAGTCTACTTA